GCTCTCATAGAAAGGACAAGCAACATCGCTCTAGAATTTACACTACGCAAAGCTCTCACAGCACAAACACCTTTTTCTTTTACGATCAAACTCTTGTACGATCAAAGTCATCTTTTTCTTAATAATATCAAGAACACCATCTTTGGTATCAATTGATTCTGTCGTTCTTTGAGAATTCTCGCAAATCGTATCCCTAAATTAAAACCCTAGACAAATCTCGATTGTGTTAGTTTCGACTTCCACAAGTTTCAAGCTTTTGAGACAGGTTGGTTGCTTAGAGATGATTACGATGACATTTTCTCTGTCTCAATTACCTAGCCTTCTCTTACATGTTTGAATGAGTTTAGCCTCTTCCGAAAGAAGTTTACTAGGTTTTCTCTTATTCCGATTTCTATGTAGTTTAAGTCCTATGTCGTTTGTGTCGCTCGTACTGCTAAAAGTAAATTTGTTATCATTTTTCGTTTGTAAATTTTGGTCCTTGGTTTGATTTTTCAATCCGGCTATTTAATTTTAGTTGTTAGGCTCACGTAAAAATATTGATTGAATACAGTCAAGATGTATCAAAGATCAAAGACAAGACAACAATGGTTGAATAAAAGTCTTACCGATATCCAATGCAATGCTAAATCGAACAATAGTAATCATAATAATTAAATTCACACTCGAAGTTGTATATATTTCTGAAGAAAGAATTTTTTTTTTTTTAACTATTATAACCGTCGAATAGTATGGTGATGATAATGGAATTTTTGTAAAGGACTGAAAATATTGCATCATTTCAACCGAACTTAAAGAGAAAAAAATTCTTAGTGGAAAAGAATGTGATACTTGTGTACAATTGGTTTAGACTCGAGTACAATTGGTTTAGACTCGAGTACACTACAAGAAAAATCCACATTCTTATCACGAGAGAAACGCTATGTTACGTCATTAATAGCGTTTTCATAAACGCTATTTTATGCCCCTGTTATCGTAAGTACCCCACATACGATAGCGTCAGATACGGATGCTATGTTAAATATTTCTATTATAGCATTAGGGAAATGTTGTGTGTTCAAGCGTATTTATTTGTTT